AACATATAAATATATCTTAGTGTCTTAATTGTTTAGATTTTTATAATGCATTAGCTTTTTGTCGATCCGCTGGTTCACATTTAAAAAATATGTAGCAAAAATAGCAGATGGGCTTTTTGAAAAAGCAAATTCGTTCTCTGCCAGCAGGTTTCACTTTCGAAACTGCGCATATAGTGGTTTCCCCGGTAACCGCAGTACACAAAGCTGACATGCAGCGCTCAAGTTTATTCGGTGAAATCGTAGCCTTTTGAAGTTTAATCGTCATATTAATCCATATAGCAATTCTTGTCTTTCCGTCCCCAAAGACCTCTTATAATTTAGACTTTTTGTACCATTTAAGAGTTTGCATGGCCTTAAATGTAAACAATTTAACTGAAGACGTTTTAAGGACCCGCGGAAACCCTAATAAGAACATAGTTCAGTGCAAACATTTCTGTCATGCATTTGGCAAAAAGCTTTTGTTGACTATGAATTTTACCTTTGAAATTTGAGGCAAGTGCAACTCTGGCGTCCCCGTTGTTTGTGAGCAGTGGTGTGATGGCGATATAAATAAAATACAGATTTCCAAACAATCCAAACATATGGGTATCCCCTTGAACTTGGTAAAAAGATAATCTGTTTACCATCTTGACTTGAAAATACTGTTTTCATGGTCAGTTTTTCATTTATTATTGGCTAATGTTAATTAATGTTTACAATAGAGTGCACGTCCTACTACGCTGAAATTAATAGGGGAGCGGCTGGAAACTAGCGACCTCTCCTGGTTGGAGATAGTATTAACATCATAAACTGAAAGCAATCTTTACGTGACTTGCTTTTCAAATGTTTTAAAATTGATCATCCGAGTCTAATATGATCCAGCGGGCCGTACTAAAAGACACTGCGGGCCGCCAGTTGCCCATCCCTGGTATAGATGTCTACCACATCCACATTTCCTTGACTAAGCAGAGTAAAATCATCTGCCACATGGTCTTTCCCCTCGTCAAAATACGTGAAGCAGCAAAACAGGAAACGATGCAAAACCACACAAGTTTTCTCATACGGAATGTACTATTTTGAGCTCCGCTTTGGTTTACCCTTTTTGTTTGTCTTACCAGAGATTCTATAATGTCTTGTTTTATGTGCTGAAGTCTTGTGCTAATAAAATAAAAACTTAAATAAAAAAGCAAATGTTTTATATAGTGAAACATTTGCTTTTTTTTTTTTTTGCTAAGGTTGCTAATTGCCTAATTACGGAGCCCCTAAAGGGACATGGTGGCGGGAAAAAATCAGATTGAGTGAAAAAATTTGGGGTGGGAGGAAAAAATATTTGTCAGATTTTTTGCGTTCTCTCGCAAAACTTTTGCGTTCCCTCGCAAAACGCAAATATCTTTTGCGAGAGAACGCAAAAGGGAACGCAAATATCTTTGCGAGAGTACGCAAAAGGGAACGCAAATATCTTTGCGAGAGTACGCAAAAGGGAACGCAAATATCTTTGCGAGAGTACGCAAAAGGGAACGCAAATATCTTTGCGAGAGTACGCAAAAGGGAACGCAAATATCTTTGCGAGAGTACGCAAAAGGGAACGCAAATATCTTTGCGAGAGTACGCAAAAGGGAACGCAAATATCTTTGCGAGAGTACGCAAAAGGGAACGCAAATATCTTTGCGAGAGTACGCAAAAGGGAACGCAAATATCTTTGCGAGAGAACGCAAAAAATCTGACAAATATTTTTTCCTCCCACCCCAAATTTTTTCACTCAATCTGATTTTTTCCCGCCACCATGTCCCTTTAGGGGCTCCGTACCTAATAATTAGATTAAATGTGCTTAAATTTCAGATATGGTGAGAGCTATAAGAAGGGCCGAAAGCCAGACAATGGCAGACAGAAAGACAATTTCAAGAAACATACACCAGGTCGGAATAATATGCCATTTGTGTCTAGCAATAGAGTTATGCTGGTATATTAAAAAATTATAACCTAGAACATGTTTATGGGATATTTATTTATTATATTTTTCATAACTTTTTCTATTTTAAATATTCATTTTTTCATTGGTAGATTGTCTATTATGAGGGGTGTAATCTAAACCAAGATCGGCTAAGCAGCAGACAGAATGGCATGGTGAGTTCAAGCCCTGTCCTCCCAGGAGCTTTGTGCCAGCTGTAATGTAACTGATCATCATTTTTTTCACAGGGGCCAGAACAACAGTTGTCCCCATACGGGGTATCGTGGTTGATTGTGTGTGTACAGATGGTTGGGTGAGGGGCACGTTCTGCCCATGTAATCCCTTTGCCCACATGGCATTAGAGTCAGTCGAGACTGCTAAATTTGTTATGCGTTCAACAGTGTAATGGTCCATCAGTGGACTTACTGTTGAGAGTTATCAATACTGTTAACATAAGGAGGTTGCAGAATATATATATATATATATATATATATATAA